ACTAGTGCTTTACTCGTCTACCAGAAGCCACAGGGACATCTCTAAAAGCTGCTTTTCAGCCAGGTGGCTGCCATCCCAAACTGTTGCTTGGGCTGGTTCTATCCCATTGCTCAGTTACAAGTGTTTTCTAGCATTTTTTTTCCAGGCTGCTGAAGTCAGTTTCAATGACAGCCCTACCCTGTAGTTTATCATATATTTCCCAGGTCTGCAGTTGTCTATGACCTTGATGATGATGCAAGTCCATCCCATCATCCAGGTCACAAATGAAGATGTCAAACGGTATATTCTTTAAATGATGTGTGTCTCATGCCCCAGAAGTTCATTTTCTCTTACAGTAGGTAGATACAGTAAAGGGTTCTGTGGGGCCTGTGGCTGCTCCCGTCATACCATTTAGAATGAATAATGAGTACCTGTTTTTCAAAGAAACATTACTTCTTTTGATTTCATTTAACATTCATTTCTTATGCATATTCTGGTATTAATCTAGTGATCCATATTACAATGTTATGAAACCCAGAACAGTAACACCTCTTTCTTCTCATAAAAAGGAGTGAAACCATGAGGAGAATATATGCAAGACTCTAGACAGTGCTTCATAAGTGAAAATATATTTTTCTATAATATTACCCAACTGCATTCTTCATAATATTTAGAAAAATGGATCCAAAAGCATGAAGAAATCTCTGTAGACCAAGGGAATTCTAATGTCATCTAATGAAGAAAAGAAAGCAAACAATGTCAGTAGATTTTCCAACATTTATTGGTGAATAGGATATTGATGCAGTTTTCAAAAAACAACCTGAACATTCTTTTTAAGAGCTCATCCTTGACTTTTCGTCTGGTTTGAGAAACGTAGGAAGCATGTGTATGAGATAGCGCTGTTCCTAACAGTGTTTTAATCAGTTCGAGTAAAAAAAGTCTATTCTTTAAAAAATGGTTATAGACTAGTGCCCATAAATGGAGACTTGAAATAATTGCATCATTATGTTATCTTATTCCAGTTGGTTTTTGTTTTGGTTTGGAACAAAAACTGCAGTGTGATGCAGTTGCCTCTCTCTGATTATTTTTACCTTGGTGTATTCTTTTGCTGGCTTGCTTGTATAGTTTATGCGCTGTCATTTGAAAAAAAGTTAAAAACTCTTGAGATCCAGACCTGGCAACGCTTCAGGATGTATCATTGTTCTTTATTTGAACATGTTAATTGTAGCGGCACTTTGGGGGTTTATGATTACTATTGAGCATAGAATGAACTCCTCATCTTTTAATATGATGAATGTGATTTTGCTCCTCAGTCAAGCTAAAATCTGCTTACTGTTGTGATTACCATCTCTGGGCTCCACCCTGCCTTTCACCACCTGCCACTTAGAAGTAATTCCTTTGGCAAGGAGAATTCAGCCAGAACTGTCAAGGAATTTTGCCCCTTTTTGAGATCCCTCTGATTATTATTCTTATTTTGTGGTGATGTCAGATTTCCAAGGGTAATCTCTCACTAGAGGCATATGTTTGTCTTTGGGACTTGCATCACCCTCTCATTTGTAGTCTCCATTTCAGAAGTAATGATTGCTTACTGAAAATATGCATTATGTGGATTTTCTATTATTTAATTCCATTACTTTCTGTGAGCACATCACTACATTTCTAGGAAAAAGAAGATTCTTTAATCCAGGAAACAAGCCAAGGATTGAAAACAGGCAAACGTTTTTTTTTTCCCAAGTACATACAAATACTTTTGTTGCTATCTTAAAAAAAAAGTGCTTGCAGTTCCTTATTATGTATGGACTAAATTCAATTCATGGTAGTATTTCTGTTCTCTGCTTAAGCAGCAAAAACATTATAAATTAAAGTGCATTTTAAAAATATGTAGAAAAAGTGTTTCTTACTAGATGGGAACCAACATTTCCTCTTTTTCTTTATGGATGTTTGACATCACTGCATATACAGAAAGTGAAATTCAAAACTTCTTTCCTTAACGCTTTGATGTTTGTGATGCTGTTAACTGCTGCTGGGTTCAGTTATAATGCTTTGAGTAACTTAGCTTGGTCATGATAGGTCAGTGATCTGTGGTCACCAGCGTGTAATGCAGATGTCCTCTGAAGGCACGGAGGAAGAGAAAGTGGATGTGAAGGAGAGGGCCTCATGTTCACATAATCATCGTGGAATCATAGAATGGCTTAAATTGAAAAGGATCATCTAGTTTCAACCCCCCTGCTATGTGCAGGGTCACCAAAAACCAGATCAGGCTGCCCAGAGCCACATCCAGCCTGGCCTTGAATGCCTCCAGGGATGGAGCATCCACAACCTCCTTGGGCAACCTGTTCCAGTGTGTCACCACCCTCTGTGTGAAAAACTTCCTCTTAATATCTAACCTAAACCTCCCTTGTCTCAGTTTAAAACCATTCCCGCTTTGTTCTATCACTGTCTGCCCTCATAAACAACCGAGGCTTCCGGAGAAACATGGGCCAATGCCATCTCCCAGTTGTCTCTACAATGGCAGTTTCCTATTTCCTCTTCTGTTGCTTCCTTGTGTCTTTGCCTCATAACTCCATCTTGGTCTGTCTTCATTTCTCATGTTGCCATCTCTCTGTTTATATTATGTAATAAGCTCCAGTGCACAAGGATCTTATCATTTTTAATAAATTAAGAAAGTTAGAAATACTGTACAATGGTTTTAATTCCACTCCTTGTGTTCTTTCTTCCTTTCAAGAAGCCAGTGTTCTAGCCAGAGAAATGGGATTACTCTTGTACATTATGTTCACTGGGGCAGAGGAGAAGGGAGACATCCCATTCAGCTTATTTACAGTCTCTTGTCTTAAAAAAATCTAGAAAACGTGCCAGTTCAAATAAATGTTGAAGTAATAAATGGAATTGACAGTCCCTTATTTTCAGTGTTTGATGCCTTTTTAAGTGCATATATGCTGGTATGTATTGACAGTAGTTGATGTGGCTGTAAAACTAGGCAAAAAATGTACATTTTTAGTACTGTGTTCTGGGTAGATTTGGCATTGAGTATCTAATTTCTGTGGTATTGCTTTTGAAATGCATGTAATATCATAAATAAGTAAATATTGGTATATTCCATGATAATTGAAAATAATGCTCATAAGAATAATATTAGTAAACCTTATAATCAAAGCAGACTTAAAAGAACATTGTAATTGAAATGTTTGTGTAGTTGTAACCTAATAATAGAATACACATCTTATTTCTAAAATATAAAATTTAAAGCACAACACAGCTGATTTTTTGTTTCTTTTTTTTTTTTTTTTTTGAGTTGTAGGTTCATTTTCTTTATTTTCCTGAAATCTTGTGATCTCTTATTGCTCTGCAAATCTGATCTGACTTAAATAGTCTCTTTAAATCATCTGAATCTCCTCTTTTTGCTTCAGAAGCCTGTATGTTCTTCTATAATGTGAACAACTGGAAGTAATACAGCTGTCCTGAAGAACTTTTGGGTTTCAGGCGAATTCCTAGCCAGCTGCAAATATGGTGGTAAAAAAAAAGACCTGTAGCCACTGTATCATGTGCTATGTTCTCAAGTGATGTAGGCATGCTTATTGTCATTTTGGATCCTCTCTTTTGGTATAGAATGAGAAAGAGATGAGAGAGGCTTTGTAAAAATCGTGGAGAAAAATACTTCATGAAAACATTTACTGTTTGTTTATATAGTTGCAGTGATAGTGCTTAGTTAAGCAGAACGTATTTGTGAAGAGAAAACTTGTGCAGGATGGCTATGTATGTGCAAATTGATGGTGTCTTTCAGAAATGATATGCTGAAGTGGACTTCTTGTGATTGATTTTTTTTTTTGTGGTTGTTTGTTAAAATACTATCATGCCTTAGTATTGCTGTATCTTACGGTGTTTGCTATGGGTGTGTTGGTTTTGCCAGTCTGGCCTGAGCATATTTGCAGGTATAACCATCTACAAATAAAAAGTGCCATGTGCATTCGTAGGATGACAAGAAGGGGCAGCAGCTCCTCACAGAAGTGTAGCTGGCACCTTCAGACTTCCCTGCACAATCCCATTTTTAAACATCAGGTGAAACAAATGCAACTGGACCAAACATAGTTTAAGCATCCAGTTGTACGTCACAAGTGGAAGAAACAAGTTCCAGGTTTGCTTGGGTAAACAACCATATCAGAGAAGGTTTTAAGAGTAGGGAAGAGAGTAGGAAAGAGAGTAAACAGCAAATAGTGGGCTTTTTTTTAGAAGTCTGAAGAGACTTACTAGCGGTCACCTGGTTAGATCTTGAAAATACCATAAAACATATGTAAGTAGAGAAAAACTGAAGTAGAGGCACTTTAGAATGAGGCAACAACTAAGATTAATCCTAGATGTGGCCCTGAAATGAAATTAATATTTCCCCTCGTCTTTCAATGAGGATAATGTCATCAGACACAAAAAGTAGGGAAATGTGAGCTATTCCATCCAAGACAAACCCATAGCTAAACGTAGACAATCCACTTAAGTGAAGGGACCAGAGACTCTCAGTTATGAGTGTATTGAAATGCAGAAGCGTAGACTTCTCATAAATCTGCTGAATAGCAATCATATGATTAGAGTGTAACAAATGCAAAAAGAAACTGTTTTTTTTTTCCACTGCAAATAGAATAAATATGGTGAAGATAGTAGTTTTCCCTAAAGATTTTGGAGAATATGAATTTGTCTGGAAGTTTTATCAAGCTGTAATTTTGTTGTGGAGTTAGAAATTGCTTTTTAAAGGAGAGGAATCAGAGTGACAGTGCTTGAAGAACAGATGGATGCCACTCCTGTGTTGTTGTCCAGGGCTGGCTTGATGATGTGCTATGTGGAAGAATTGTGTCTTTTCTACATCTATTTTGAGGTAACTGCTACATGTGCCAATAGTGCTCAGTCTGTTGCCAGCAGGGAAGACTGTACGTTTTTAAGAACTGCTAAAAATAATAGAATATAAAAAATAAGTATTAACTCTTTTTTTTCTAATGGGACATTTTAGAAAAAGTAATTTTCTTGTTCTCTTTCAGCCATGGAAGAGTTAATAGTAGAGCTGCGACTGTTTCTTGAACTTCTGGACCATGAATATCTGACTTCCACTGTCAGAGAGAAGAAGGCAGTAATAACTAACATTCTCCTGAGGATACAGTCATCTAAAGGTCAGTGTCAGGGGTGTGTTTTCTCGCTTGCAGAGCGCACAGAATAAGTCTCAGTTCAGTGAAATAGCTTTAAAGGCTGAAGACAAGCTCTAAATTGAAGAAAGACAGAAAGGCAGGGTAAAGCCAAAATGCAGCTTTCCTGAATGCTTTTCTCCTCAGTCAACAGTAAAATGTAGCAAAAGCTATACTGGAAGTAACTTGATTGCATATGACTGAACCCAACCACAAAACTGTGCTAGATAGAGTGCTTTCACCTTTGTTGGTATAGTGGTTACTTGATTGTATTTGAGGCAAAAATTCTATCCCTCCATTTTGATACACTGTGTTATAAAAGTCTTGCATGATGTGCTACATCTCTTTGTGAGACCTAAATCAAGCCAGGGCTTGATTTTGCTGTGTATTCTGGTGCATGACTGGCACAGGAATACCAAGCAAGAGATAGGAAATGTCTGGCAACCTGTTTGGTTTGCGCGTTGCAGGTAAATTAGTATTCACCTTCCCTTTCTCATGCTATCTAAAACCATTTTGATTGCACAATTACTTTGGTCTCCATCAAGATTATGGGTTGACTACATAAATCAACCTTTCCATGGGGCTTTTACAAAAATGCTCCTCACTGTCTTTCCTAATATTACTCTTATATGTCCTTACAACGCCCTTCTGTACAAAGAGGCAGCAGGGCTGTATGACTTCTGTCTCTCCAACAACTGACAGCAGTTTTGTCACTTGTAAACACCCAACATTCAGGCTTTTGAAAAATGATTGGGTGTTTTGAGAAAAAATGCCATGTGAGCAGCTGCATTTCTCATGTTTCTTCTCCAGTGCTAAAAAATACATTTTGGTGTTTGATGTAGTCTTATCCTCTTCAGTAGAGAAATTGAATTTGCTACAGGATTCATGACCAAGGAGATCAGCTGTGAAATGGTGATTGTCCTTCTTTCAGTTTTGACATTCTTAAAGACCTATCATTGCTTTTACTTTACTGATGAGTGAAAGAAGCAGGCATCAGGATCAGATGGTGTGCAAGGGAGCTTCATGCTCCATAGGCATAGGCATATCAAAATACCCTGCAGACCCCGAAACAAACGGCTGCAGGTAAGAACTTGCAGTTTGTCATGTTTCATGGGAGTCCAATCAACAATGCTGACTTGGCAGTTTATCTTTTAATATTTTCAACACAATTTATTTAAAATACTTGACTTTTTCAATAAAATTGTATGGATTTTTGCATCAGAAAAATATACCTTACCAGGCATATTTAATTTAAGATTACAGATGTGGGAGAGGATAAAAAGGGTCATAGCTTTTTACCTTTCAGCACCTACCTCTTAGGGTTTAGAGCCTATTTCAGGATCTGTAACAAGATCCATTACATCCTACTACAGGATTCATCCATTAACAAGATCCATACAAGAGCTATATATTTAGTGGCGGGGTTTGGTTCAGTGCACTTGTTAGTGGAACATTATACCCACTTCTAGCAATTGCATTCAAAGAAATACAGTTTAGGCATTTCAGAGGAAATACATAAAGTGATTAAAGGATCCAGAAATATGCCTTCAAATTATCCTAAATGATGAATCTTGATGTAGAAAAGAGATGACTGAGAATGAGCTCTTAGACACAACAAAAAAAGCAGTGTGCAATGGCTGGATGTTTGTTTCAAAGTGGAAATAAAGCACATTTTTTGAGCACTGAAGATATGAATTAATGGGAGAACTTAGTAAGGTCTGCATGCTGTTGCTGGCATTTTTTCAAGATGTAATATTTTACTAAAAGGTATGCTGTAGTTCAAGCAAGAATTAATTAGAGGAAGTCCTATAGCTCAGTTAAGCAAGAAGTCATAGGATTATACTTCATATGTCTATAAACTCTAGTTTAAGGATTTGTAGTTTAAATAGAGTGTAAGCCAGCACAGCCTCTAAAAAAAGCATCCTGTTAGTCTCCCCAGGCTACTCATTCTTGCTCATCGTGTGTTGCTGCTTCCTTTCTGCTAGCACAGGCATTGTTTGCTTTTTTTACTGGTTTGTTCCTGACCAGCTCTGGTTCAACCTGAGGCCACACACATGCCTATGCCAGCACAGAGGAGAGGCTGGTGCAGGGCAGGATTCAGGCAGGAAAGGAGCGAGCTGCCTCCTTGAGAGCCATCTTGTGCTGTCTTAAATTGGCTGTGAGACAGTAGAAGGAGTCATGCAGATGGACAGAGATGACCCTGCTGCTTTTTTTATCAGCTGTAACATTCAATACTCCCATCCCTTTGAAACTATTCGTCTCTTCATTAAAATTAAAAGCAATGAAAGACTCTTAAGCCCACAGAAGTCTGTAACTAAGCTGAGTTGTCATTCCGAGTCTGTTTTTCAAAACGTTGCTTTACTCCACCCACACAGCTCCATGAGAGCTCGCGAATCGCTGGCATGGTTTCACAGCCCGAGGTCGGTGCAGAGTTCAGGCTCGTTATAGGCATTTGAAAAAATCAACTGTGTGAATCCAACTGTGTATTTCAATTGCTGAAGTAAGCCATTTAAGAACAACAGGGAATGGTAATGAAGGGTCAGTGCAGCTGGGAACTGAATGGATTCTTTCTAACATCTGGAAGTCAACAATTACACTTTTCTTCATAAAGGTGTGGAAATTATAATGGTTGTGTTTCAGTAAAACACTTTAAAGTGTCGCTTTCGTTTCAGTAAGTTGGAAAAATCTTCAGAAATCTTCTACATTGTGTTCTTACATCTCCTAAATGCACACCACTCCCTTCACTTAATACCCATCAGGGAGCTGAACCAGTCAGATGTACACTTCACATCGTGGCTGCCAGGCCTCCACCTTCTGCATGTCCAAACCAGTGGTCACCTTCAGGAGCCGGCAAAACTATAAACTTTGTTTTTCTTCTGAATCTTGGCATGCCCAAAGTACTGTAGGTCTGAACAAAACACTTGGCATTTCCTTGTGAAACTTAGACTTCCTTCTAAAAAACAAAGGCACAAACAGTTGATTTTGGAGTAAGAGATGTTAGTGGATTCAGTCATTTAATATGACCATCATTGTTGCTGGTTTCCCTTAAAGGGACTTGATGTCAGAAATTTATAATACTGACTTTGATGCAACTTGTTAAAAGGATGAAAATATTATAGCAGGTTCTTGCTAAAGCACACATAGTTTGGGGTGAAAACTAGCTTTACAGAGTGAGTAAAATCCACTTGGAATATATATTTTTTCCTTCAGTAAAACGTTCTTCATATTTGAGTTTTGGTTGTTACGGAAAGCATGGGAACATGATTTCATCCTACATAAGGAGGAACAAGTAAAATTGAAAACAAACAAACAAACAAACAAAAAAAAAAAAACAAAAAACAAGTGAAAACAAAAAAAAAATTGAATGTTTCCCAAGACTAATCTGCATCTTGATTTGTAGGAAGAAAGAAGAATCTGTGACCCTTAGAGATGGTTTATTTTATCAGTGTTATTTTTCAATCAATGACTTCACAGCCAGTGGGTCTGGGTTATTGTGACAAGAAACATTTAATCATTAATTACATTTTTGAGAATTACATGATCTTGACCTAAAGACATCCATTTGACTATGTAAATATACATTGTATAAACTTACCTAAACACTATGAACTTAATTCAGTCTAGGAGTAAGGAAGGTATGTCCTGTTGGCTGATTTTTTTTGCCAAAGCATTGAGATGCACCCTCCCCTTGATATTCAGAAAAATAGACAATGCCATGTTCCTGTGAAGTGAATCTGAATGGAATTTAAATTATTGTGCCAGAAACAGCAGAACTAGTGGTTTTCCCGAGGGAGGAAATAGACTGTTTTATCTGCTATATGATGCTGCTGAGACTCTTCAGAGTGTTAAGCGTGGTATCTTCCTCATATCACTGGTATTATCTGTGATACATGCCTGACAATGTTTGAATTTTAGATTTTTCAGTTCCAGATGGGTAGGCAGTTCAGCATGATTTCCAGTACATTTTTTCTCTGTCTGGTATTTGTTGATCCAAATATCATATATGTCATTATCATATACAGTAAGTATGTGTTTGCTGTGCTTGATTAAATTCCTGAATTCCCAGCATTCTTCAAGTTTTTCCTTAGTAACCAGGGTTGGGAGGCAGGTTGTGAGAAGGACTGCAAGCCAGATTTCAGTGTATGATGATCTACATACAGAAAAATGTCCCATTTGCATCCACCAAAGTGTTAAGCGATATGTGTTTCTCTTCTGCAGGTTTTGAAATAAAAGAACATGTGCAGAAACCAGAAGTTGCCAACAGCCTGCCAGCACCTCCTCAAATGCCTCTGCCAGAAATACCTCAGCAGTGGCTGGTGAGTGTTAATTTAGGTATATCAATATGTATATGAGAGAATGTTTTTGTGATAAGCGCTAGCAGAAATGGTTACAAGGAGAAGGAACCTGCAGGTCCAGGGATATGGTTATTCCTCACAGCACCGATCTGGTTAAGAGAATTGTGTTCAACTTGCAGAAGAGAAGACAAAAAACCTCCCTTGGGGTGAATTAAATGTGGAATCCCAGTCTTTTCCATTTTCAAGATTAGAGTGGCACAAGCCTGAGCAACTTAATCTTAACTTTAGAAGTCACCCAGTCTTGCGGAGATCTTGATGTGGCCCATGGGTCACAGCCAGTTTTGTAGGATTTAAGAACCTGCTTTCCCTGTAGTGAGTCTTACGAGAAGATTCCCTCCTGGTTCTTGAAAAATTGAAGTGTGAAGTGTTAAAGTACAGGAAGAATGCTTCATTTTTTTCATAGAATACTTAGTGCCTTTCTGTGCTCAGTCTTCAGGCAGGAAATTCCTGGCAGAATAAGTAGCAGCGTAAGTTCTTGGTGATGTTTATAGCAAAGATACTGTCTGCAGATTCAGTTCCTGCAGTTGGGAGCAGCTGTCTTGTAAAGAAATAAACTATCAACAAGTTTTCATTCTCCTCTGTGAATGCTCAATTGCTACTTTAGAGTAGATTTGAAGAAACATTTGCAACCTTTTTTAGAGAGGCATATGCAGATAATGGTCTATCCTATTGAAAGGGGAATGTAGTCTTAGCCCTAACATTGATAAATTATCTATCTTTTTTGTGGGAAAAAAATTTGTGGAAAATATTGTGCACTGATAAGGATAATCGAAGGCTCTGCTATGGAGACCTTCATTCATTAATGTGAAGTGCATGGTGAGGGCAAAACCCACCAAAACTAGAATTGTGTTATTACATCTCTGCCCAATAGAAGCTTACCTAGTTTACAATCCAATAGCATCTTATGAACATAAGAACTGGCTTATCAGATCAAACTCTTGGTGAGCTCTTCTTAATAAATCTTTTCGATAGTGAGTAATGCTACACACTTTCATACTACAGAACACATTAAAAACAAAGGTTTTATGTAAAATGCCTTTATCATAGTGTCTCCCTATGTGCTGTCAGCGGTTGGTTTGTGACCAGGAGCAAATTTTTTTTTTTTTTTTTTAATTCTACCCAGTAAAAGGAAATATTATAGAAAGGGAATATTTACGCTAGAAACATCTGAATTGAGAGCTGATATACATACAGTAGCAAGAGTCACTTAAAGTGGATGCTAAAAATAATTATGCATGAAGTTGAGTGGATGCAAAAGCGATCTTATTAACATGCAGTGAAACCTAGGGAATCCATTTCATGGCTAACAGTGCCTGAAAATGATTATTTTTTTTCTTTAATTCTGGATGCATTTAGCATAAATCACAAGGGAGATGGTTGATGAGATGGAGAAAAATTATGCAAAATGCACACAACTTTGACACATAGACTTCATAAGCTCCAGCCAATTCACTTCCTTGTTCTTTTGTATTTAAATAGGTTCAGTTTAATAAATTGGTTCTGAGGATTCAAGTTGTTTTTTTAAAGACAATAAACCTACTTCTCCTTTCTCATATTAATGGGTAAATTCCCTTAAAGTTAGTACAGCTGCACTGGGTGAAATGCTGTGAAGCATGACTTAGGTCCAGTAGATCAGCAGTTTTTTGCAGGAGTTATATTCTGTTTAGGTTTCAGAGAAACAGAAATAGTATTCTGATATACAGTGGAATTAATGTGAAAGCTGGCACAGTTAAAACCGCCTGCTCTGGAGCATGTTCTTATTCTTTTGAGTCTGGCAAAATGGTGTTTAGACATGACCCTCCTCCTTGACCAGCCAGTAATAAGGCAGGCACTTTCATCTCAATGAAGTCACAAAGCTGAGCCGTTTTTTCCGTAGTAGTGGAAGCTGATTTTTATTCCTGCAGTTCCAGTGTTGCTGTCAGGCTGCCGTGGTTCATGCCTCTACCTCAGTTGTTAGTGCCACTTTGAGATCAGCAGGAAAATGTTCCAGGCTTCTCACTATCTTTCCTTATCCAAATACAGGTTATGAGCAACTTTATTTTAAGACACTTAACACGTAATTTGTGAAAAAGATGACAGGCTACTGTTGTCCCACAAAAGACCAGGTGGAGCCAGAGCAGAAGGCCAAACCTTCTAGTTTTTGACTTTTGGACAATGTTACAAGCTCAGACCCCAATCTGAGCGTTCAAAAATTTATCCTGAAGTCATGTTGAGCTAATGAAGCTGATCGTTAGCTGTTTCTTGGAAACCTTTCCCTGCTAGATGCTTCTTTCTTAGACACTTATTAGATATGACCAGATACTTTTGCATCATCTTTCTTCTAACACTAGACTTGTCATCAGTGATAGTGGCCGACATCTGATTTTTCCTTTCATTAATACTCTTGCATGGTGATTTTCAATCCACCCTTAATCACTGGGCTCCTAAAAATGTGTATCTTGCCAGTCTCTATAGAAACTCTACATAATTACATGATTCGGTGATAGTGATGTCTGATAGTGATGTGCTGCCATTCATAGCAACTTTTTATAGACCAGACTTCTGCATTCCAGAGAAAGAAATTCATTGGCCCACCAGAGGATAGGAAATCCGGCACCAAGATGCCCCTCTTCACGTTACAAGTTGAAAATCGTGTTGTATGGCACTTTGTTTAATCAGCCATTCAGCACATTCACCACAACTTTTCCATTTGCTGAATAATATCTAGTGGTGGTCTCTAAGTCTCCAGTAGAAACACAGTGTGCTGCTTGAACACAGGAATTTACTGGAAGTGGGAATTACTAAGTTTAAATAAACTAGTACTGTTTTAAAATCCAAGTTTTTAGCACAATGGTTACTGAACATGTTGGAAATTAAAGTTTCATTTACACCACTGTTCCTTTTTATGGCACTCAGGGGAGTGCATTGAAAAATGTTTAGTCTGAATTGATGTTTAAGCTTTTACTTATGTAAAGACGTGTGGGTGGGAAGGAATTCAGTCCTCCTTAAAGTAGTGCCAGGAGCCAGAATTATGTGTGGGCAGGTGCTGTGCAAGGTTTCCTCTGCAGATCTGTAAATAGACTTGCATATTTGCTCAGGCTGAATTTTATATCATTTTTATCATTCGTCAGTCTGTGAACAAAGATAATAAAATTCATTTTATTTAGAGACATGCTGTTAATATTTAAAATGAAATCTCCAGTTATTAAAATGCATTGAGGCCCAGAGTGTATTCCTGGACTCACTGGGCTTTGGACCAGGTGTTTAAGTCAAAAAAAGTTGGACTTTACATACACTGGAATAAAGCACAAATCACATGATCTCATAGAAATTATTTTTTTCTGTTTACACTCCCTTGCCTGTATCTGGTATAGCAGACTTTGTGTCAGACTTGGATGGAACCAGTCCTCCCTTGCTTTAGTCCATGCAGACAGCTCCTTCAGACAGCCAGCAAAGTAAAAGCTACAGGTGAAGGCTGTGAGCATGTGAGGGATCTCAGAAGTCAACTCCACTCACTTACTAATGAAAATATGTACTTGCTGGCATGAATACAGGGCTAGCAGCTAATGAAGCTTTGCCTGAGATAGCAGCAGAGGAGATCACTGTGTGAAACAGAGTTGAGTTGGTTCTCCATTCTTGAGTCTTCTTAGCTGTGTATTTTCACCTGTTTTCTCACTCTCCAAATCAGCACCTAATTTTGTGATGCATCTTTGCACTGGAAGGACAGGCAAGAGGGAGCGCTAGATGGGGGGTCAGAGAAATAGCAGAGCTCTGTGATACCCCCTGGGGGTTTAATACCTGGGATCCCATCACTGCACTGCTGCTAAGTTACCTTGAAGTACTGAGGCAACAAAACGATATCCAGTACATCCTGCTGCTCTGATGCATCAGAAGAATATTGGCATAAATTATCCACAGCATGACAGTGACAGAACACTCCTAGCCTCCAAGCATTTGGTTCCATATTACATCTGACAATCAGTGATTTCAGCGCACTGTGCCATCCAAGAAAATCAAATACGAACAGCACGCTTAGCTCTTTTGCATGATTTTCACAGTAAAATTGGCTATACGTTTTGTTTGTCCTGGAATAACGACAATTTAATAATTATTTAACCACAACAAGTGTCCAGCAATATGCCAGAACCCCTGTAGATATAAATCAAAAGGATAGGTCATCTTCTTCCAACCCTTTCTTGCAACACACACAGTCACAGTGTAGGAGTGTTTCATATAAATGAGTTTCCTATTGTGGAGATGTGACTTGACAAACTCTTTATCTGGCTGCCTGTCTGATATTAGCTCAGATATTTATTAAAAAATGCTGAAAGGAGACAGTGTCCTTGAAACAGAAAAAAATGATCTGAAATCAAAAGGATTTTTAAGGTGATCTTTTCAAATGTGCATTTAGGTTTGCGGTAAACAAAAGGAAGAGGTACTTTGGTAAATCTATCTTAAATCACGCTCTTCCCAGATTCCATTTTCTCAGCATTGTGTCTAATAAAGGCTCTCTTAGTTTTGTTTCTGAAGTATAAATTTGTCCTCTTGAACTAGTTCCCGTATCAGTGTCTCTCATTTGCTCTAGTTTCATGATCTTGTTTGACCAGAAGTCACCAGAAGAGGGGTCCCCTGGGCATGGTTTGGATGTGGAATAGTTTCCATGTTTGTGTATATGACTTCTATCAAGGACAGCTATTAAATTACTAATGCCACAGATTTGATAGGGTATTGTCCCACTTCTTTTTCCTAACATTCACATTTGTGTTCTCAGGTTTTTGATTTCTTCTTTCTGTGCTGTACTTGTTCATTAAAGCACGTTGTCTATGCTGACAGAATCATAGAATCACTAAGGTTGGGGAAAACCACTAAGATCATCTAGTTCAACCATCACCCATCACCCCATGCCCACTAAACCATGTATCTCAGTGTCACATCTACATGTTTCTTCCCTGGGCAGCCTGTTCCAATGCCTCACCACTCTT